AAACCCTATGGATTCTAAGACTCATCCTGCTGGGACTGGCCTCTGGTGGACACATCAGGAACAACCTGTCATGACAGAACAATAATATAATTATGGTCAGTAGAATGGTTTAATTGCACATGCCCTGTCTTTGGGCCATTAGACTTTCCTTCCTCTTTTTCCCCCTCTTGTCACTTTAAATCTATTAGAATGGTACCTGAAAAGCCCCTTTAGATATGTCAGAAGGGGGGAAACAGTTAATTAAAACATTTGTTAAGCCCCTCCTATGTCCTAGGTATTCTCTTTTCTCAAGAAGTTCACAGCTAACAGGAGAATACAGAAACTTAAACCCCAATTATAATTCTGTGAGCTGAACACTATGCCAGTGCTATGGACACAGATTTTAATGTACTTGTGCTTAGAAAATAAAAGATTTTGAATTCTCCTTGTCCATTTTAGTTTTATTTATGCTTCAAGGTTACAAGTTATTTTGATAGAGAAGTGGGGTGGGGGAGGTTTTATGCAATCTTAACTTTTAAAATGTTAAGCACTAGCTTAACAAAAAGTATTATTTTCTAAATACTTTCAAGGGCATTTTCCTAGAATCAGGTAAATGAGAGCAAGCAAGTGACCTACTTACAGCAAAAAAAAAAAAAAAAAAAAATGCTCCAGGTTAGAAAGGATGGGAAGCCAAGTGCATCCTGGAAACCGCAGCATCTGGTCTTGTTTTATGCTTCATCTATCAATCTGCTGTTACAGGAACTGAGAATTAATGTCTCAACTACTGTTTCTTCTATTTTGCCTGGTAAATTCATATCTGCGTTCTCCTTATCCAATCCCTCCTATCTCCCCTCCCATTTAAAAATCATATGGAAAGGCATTTATGAAGGTCCCAAATAAATCCTAGAGGGATTACTCTTTCATTTATGCCTTAAAACTCTTGCTAATGAGGCTACAGTAAGGTTAAACATGTTCCCAAGCAATTCCGTTTTGATCAGTCCTCACATTCCACAGAGAGTATCACATGAACAATGTATTTTCAGTACTGTATTAAAGCTAAACAACAAAAAATGTAGATTTTAAAATAAATATCTAAGTTTGAGAAAATGTTTCTTGGTAGCACAAACTGAAAAAAAATGTACAATTGGCAGTAGTGCTTGAGAAAAAGGATTATGTAGCAATGGAAGATTGCCTGCGGATTAGCACTACCCTGATAACATGAGAAAATTACATCTATACTCATTTCTATATACACTCATTTTAAATTATGTGTAAGGTTTAAAAACATAAAAGCATGACAAGGAGATTTACAATATGTTCTCTGAACTTTGCTGTTCCATCTTTTAGCTCTTTGTGCTTTTTATAAAATGAAGCTATCAATTCATCTTTTCACTCCTTCCAATCTGTTGAAATTTTAATTTTCAATTATTTTTGCCTTGATTCTTATTCTTTCTATTGGAGCTTCAAGCACTCAATCTTAGTCCTTCTCAGTGCATTCATGGCTCCAGCTACAGCTTCATATTCTTGCTTTACTTTTCTTTGTCCACCCATTCTATTTAATTTAACTTGTCAAAATAATAATTAAGATTATTCTTTTCCAATGAAATATTTTTAAAAGAACCAACGTTGCCAAGTGACTGGCGTAATTGCCGCTATATAAATTCATCTATTTGTTGAAGTTCTGCTCTTTCTAAATCACCATCAAGTGAGTTATCTCCAATGAGCAACGACTAGGGTCGGTTTTACCGGGTTTATTTGTCCAAAGAGTTCAGATTTGTTTTTCCTTCCAAAGATCTTTTATTCTGAATCTCATCATGAGGCTTCTTTGCCTTGATTTCTTGATGTATCCCAGCTGGCTTAATAGTTCAGCTGACCAGATAAGCTTTGGGGGCGGGGGCAGCAGAGATTTTTGTAAAAATACCTCTGAAATTATCACTGACGAGGGCAGAGTTTGTCAAAATGTGGGCCGAAATTACCTATATTCAAAGTACCTCAGATGTGTTTTAAAAATGCAAATACCTGGGCCAAAAATCTATAAATCGGAATCTCTAAGCCTGGGACCCAGGAATCTAAATTTTGCCTAGGTGTCCAAGTGAACAGACTCAGTGAAATTCTAGAACCCCTAATCGATGGAATCCCTTCCCCTTCAAAGATCCAGAGCATTGACTGACCTTGGCTACAGAGCAAATTAACCACACCTCCATCTAACTAACAAAAACAAAGGAAAATTCAGTTCCATGGGGAGAAACTGCCACTAGCTGTCTTTAAAAAACAAACAAAACCTTTCTATAACAAATATCACAATTATTTTTAATATCTTCATTCTGACAATCACAGAGGGAAGGTTCAGAAAGTCTATAAAAGTCTGTTGCTGTAATTTCCTGATTAATATTACACATAATGAATTATTTATTGAGCCCCTACTGTGGGCCAAATATGGTGTTTTGTGCTGCCAGAGATTATATAAAGCTATCCTGGGATGAAAAGCATATGTTCACTCGGCTCTATTCTGGAAAAATCTAGTTGATTCAGTGATTGCTGGGAATGAATATACACGGTATGTGGGAAGGCAATTAATTTGATATTGTAGGGTCTAGACATAGAAGGATTTGCTAAATGAAAACTAGGTCCAAAGAGTATAGGTGTAGGTATATGGTTTACAGCCAAACCACTGGAAAAGGAATGAGTAGCAACATTTATTTGGGGTCATGTAGACACTTTACAGGCAGTCTTGATTATTCTATCCAGCGATTACTTTTCCTATACAATCATATCCCAAGTATTAAGCAGCTGAATTGAGACTAGATGCAACCATATTGAGAACTCCACCTGATTCTAGAATTCATTTAGGCTGTCCCTGGTAGAGTGACTAAATTTACATGGCTTGTCTGAGACTTTCCCTGTTTGAGCATTTAAAGTCTTATGTTCTAGTAACCTCCTTAATGTCAGACAAACTGGGTAGGCTGATTACCCTGGTCCTTAGATCAAGGCAAGTGAAGTTCTTAGCTGGTCTAGTTTCACTCAGAGGATGATGGAAATCCATTACCATCTTGACAGGGGGAGGGTACAGCTCAATGGTAGAGTGTATAGCTCAGTGGTAGAGTGTATGCCTAGCATGTACAAGCCCCTGGGTTCAATCCCCAGCACCTCTATTTAAATAAAGAAACCTAATTACCCCCCAACCCTCCCACCCCACCAAAACAACATTACCATGTTGAATTTCTCAGCTTATTTTCCTTACCAGTGGATGTGTTTATCCTAGTGGGCTACAAACCTAAAATATTTCTTTCCTTCAATAGCCTCTATCTTTTAGCTTCGTCAAAGCATGTTTCCATAAGCATCCCAAGAATGACTTAGATAGAGGATAATCCCAGGGATCCAGTGATCCTGTGGAGATTCTCTTCCAAGACTTCCAAGACTGCTGACACATGGCTTGTGGGGATTTTTTTGTAAATATTGTCCTGGTCTCATAATCATTCTGTTCTCCAAGGTTTATCTTCATCTCTGAATAATCAGCCTAGCACTCCCAAACCTAGCTTCATGCCAATTTTTTTTAGAATTTATTTTATGATTGTAGACACACACATATAGATGAAAAGGCATGGATGTAAAACATGAACCATTTACTGTATTAAATTCCACTCTGATTTTTGTCAATGAAACCATAGTTTTTAAACATTCATGCTTTCCTGTCATCCCATCCTTACCCCTTAAAGACTTAAGTTTTGTTATTTCATGACAAAATGAAAGGTACCACTTTCACCTAGATTTTAAACTGGTATTAAATTACTACTTCAAATAGAGAATGTAAAGTGTAGGGTTTGAATGAAATCTAGGTTCCAATGAAATTTTGCCACTTGTTAGGTGCATGAGTTTAGAAAAGTTTATCTTGCTAAGCTTTAAAATTTGCTCATCTATAAATGATAAATAAAAGGAAAATAATGGCTATTTTAGAGGATTGTTTGGGGGGATTTATTTAGATTATGGATATGAAGCACATAGAAACATATTGTCTGACACCTAGTAGACATTGAGTAAACTGTAGCTATCATCTTCACTACAGAATCACAAGCCTGAAACAAGGGCAGCATTTGCTAACGTCAACAATCAAGCTGCAGAATTTTAGCTATCAAGGATAATGCCTAAGGCAGAGAGGCACAAACTGCCTTCCCGAGGAGCGGAGTAAGAGGAATTGTCGCATTACTTCTTAGTCTCACCGCCTCTATAGGAAGTGATGCTTCTATCTGGGGACAGCGTCTAATGTCGTCTCTTCCCCTAGCAGTCTGTGTTAAGGAGGCGCTGGCTTCCAGGTTTTCTCTCTGGGGACCTCTTGTGCCACGTCTCTCATTCTGGAAAGGGGAAGGGGTAAAAGAATAAGGGAAGTCACCGAAATGCAAAACCTGTTATCAGATGCCCTGTTTGTCCCGACTATCAGGCCAACCTGGGTGGGCGGCACAGCCGTTTCGCAAAAAGATATGTAGGCGCCACCCCCAGCTGTTTGTCCGCGCAGATATGAGGGAGGAAGGTGAGCCCACCCTAAAAACTGAAAGACAGATGGTGAGGGGTAGGCGGTGGCCATGCGCGTCAGTACTTTGGCTAAAGGACTGAACAGCAAGTAGCGTGCGAGTTTACACAATGAGGCGGGGCGAAGAAAAAGATGAGGGGCAGAACTAAGGATCAAGCAGCAGTCAGGTAAGAAATTTGCAGGGAACTGAGAGCATTTCTTTGCACTCCCAAGGTTCCCGGCTTTCTCAGTATTGCACCGGGAGCCCGCGAGCAGGGCGGACTTCATGTGACAATCGCCTGACCCATTTCCATGTCTAAGACTCAGTAGCTAAACTCAGAGGCTTGGGGAAAGTGGCAGGTAGACACACCCGCTTCGCAGAAAGTCTGAGCCCGGCAGAGAGAAGGTTAAGAGTCCGGTGCGCGACCTCGCTCTCCCTCCCTCGACCACCTCCAAAAACCGGAAACCTGGCGGCTCCAGGCCTTCGGCCGCGGGTCGCGCATGCTCAGTGCGAGGGGGCGGGTCGCTGCTCCCACCGGAAGCGTTCTTTCCCAGGCAGCGTTTCCTTCCTGTGTGAGGCTGGCTGAGGGCTCCTGCGGCCGCTGTTCCTGCCCTAGGGGTGAGTAGCAGGTTCCCACGGGGCTTCGTGGGATCGGCGAAGGATCCCGCTGACCTCCTTTAGGGACCGGCGAAGGATCTGGGAAGCCGAGCAGGAAAGGGCACCTCGCTGTCCTCCCACGCCGCACCTCAGTGCCGCCCCCCAGCCTCCCCCAGCCTCCTCCAGCCCTTGGTATCCAGCGGATTAACCTCCAAGGGCGTCCCGGGCCTCGCCTTGGCTTCCGGCCCGGTCTGGGCCCTAAGTTCTTCGTTAGCACTGACCCCAAGAGTTAGACCGTTTCCAAGGGCATCTCTGTAGGCAGCTGGGTCGCTGCGGGAGCATGGGGTCGTCCCGGAGACCTCAGAATCGGGGTCCTAGGCAAAGACCAGTGGAATGAGCCGAGTCTGATTGTCTCACGGGCACCGCTACCACCTAGTGCAAAAGTGAAGGTGGTTCTTCCGGCCTAGACACTCTTTCGCGGAGGATAGTGCTGTTAATAACAATGTGTCCTTTATGTGAAGGTTGGCAGGCTTTCCTTGTCATAGGCGATGTTCATAGGGCATTATATCTGCAAAACTAGGACTTCTGGGGTGGAGAAAAACTTTGTAAAACACTGCAATGAATTAGGGGAGAAATGATATGGTATGAGTACTATACTTTCTGTCCTTAATCTGTCAGTAAACTGCTCATTGGCCAGGTGGTACGACTTTATAAAGTTTTCTACCTTGAAATGGAGAACTCTTTAAGATGAAACTATCTCGTGTCATATTTGCCTAACAGATAACTCTGAATTACAGTGTTTTGCCATATTTCTTAGTTGTGCATGGCACCATCTATGTTTATGTGCATCTTTGTGTATTCATTTTGTTGATCCTAATGTTTATATAAAATTGAAATACAGTCCGTAGTGTTGTATGCACATGCAGCTTTTGTTATATATTCTGCTGTACTGATATAGTCACCGTAATGGCCTTACATTACAGGCATATCAATGTCATATGAATGATTGATGAGTGTGTAATTAAGTATATATAGTTACAACCTACAAGCAGGTGGAAGTTTCAGTTTCATTTCAGGATTTTGAAGTCATTTTAAAAGAGGGATGACTATTGTAGAAGTGGCTATAGGTCTAGAGTACTGTATTGCAGTTAATAATTTAAGTATAGGAAAATATATGCTTAACAGAGGTTTTTTGTCTTGATATCGTCTATTGGTTTAAAAATTGTTACCTTAATGACCGGGATGTGTACTGATAGCCCTAGTTGTTCATGTAGTTCAGTGAACATCCAGTAGATGGCAGTTTTATCACTACTAATTTAAACTTTAAATAAATCAAAACGTTTTATTCATTCAAATATCACTAGTTTAAGTTAGTAAACCTTTATTTTGCCTATTGGTTTATTTTCATCTATGAATAATGCTCCCACATGATACCACATATTCCAACTGATTTTTTTTCTCAAATTTATTGTGTTGGAATAAAGGCTAGAGAAGACAAATTTTCACTTTCTGTAAGAAGTATTGTTAACACATTTTGAGGAATCCATGCTGATGGAAGAAAGCACACTTTGATTTATTCCATGAGAAATTTTAACTAGGTGGCTTCTCTCTAGCTTTATTTTTAAAAATATAGTAATAACTGGACTGTGCATTTCTTGAGTAAAATAACTGTATCTTAACCATTATTGTATACCCAGTATATAGTAGGCATTATATATACGTGCTCAATAAGTGCTTTATTGTATGAATTGAATCATTTAACATCCCTAGGCCAGTTTCTTCATCCAAAATGAAGGCTTTCAGTTATTTAGTTGTTAAGTTTAAGTTAAATAATGTATTACTGTGAAGTCAATGGCTCCTAGTAATGCAGAAGTTTGGAATCCTTGTCTTTTCTTTTGGAAGTCATTCAAAAGTCTGGCAGCAATTTTGTTAAAATGATTGAATGGGAGGTTTTTCTGCTGTTGCAGTTTAACTGTTCAGCAGATGATTATTGAATAGAGTCTTTTGTATGTGACAGTTATAAAAACGGGTAAGATATAAATTCTGTTGATAAGGATTTAAACTCTAGTTGAGAATAATAAATATTACATAAGTTCAGTAAGAGGACCAAATGAATATTATAGAGGATTAATGTGATCTGAAAGCCTTCAGAGTGCATGTGAAATTGATTTTTGAAGTTTGGATAGAATTTGACTAATTCTACATGGAGAGAAATGACCCATCCAGGGTACTGTGCAGATTTGCTGGAAGGAAAATACATGTGACCTTTTCAGATGCCAGTGACTCCAGTATTGAGAGTTGCTGTTGAGAAGTAGTGGAGAACTGAAAAGCGGCTTTAAAGTTGCTCTTTGGGGCTAGATTGGTATAGTCTTGAATGCTTGGGAATCCTGTAAATAAAGGGAACGCTTTGGGATCTTTTTGTTAGGGAGAAGGAGATATCTAAGAGGAATTAGAAACTATTGGAGCTATTCCAGAGACAGGAAAGTGAAGAGAATCTTTAATAACTGAACAGTAGTAGTGAGAAAAGAAACAATAATTTTAGAGCTGGAACGACCATAGATGTTAATCTGCGAAACATCTGATTTTTACCTGTTTCTGAGCCATCTGTGTAAATTCTGATTTATTCCTTTTCATGAGTGCAAAATATACATTCCTTCTTCCCCACCCCCATATCATATAGCATTCAGCATAGTCCTGTGCTATGAGAGTATAATGACATCATTTGAGGCTGAGATTCTATCTCCCATAATGTGACAGTCGCATCATCCTTAACAAGCTGTTTCTACAGGGTGGGCATTGTCGTTGATACAGGTGTGCATGCCTCCTGTAAGCCAAGCTGTAGTTGGTGTAGCTGCTCAGGCATGTCTGTCAAAGTAGGCACGTTGCCTTCTTTTTCTCTGTTTATTTTGAGTGAGAACTTGTATTCTTGTGGCTCAAACATTTTGAAGATTCTGTTGCTTCATATTTAGCTAAATTGTTGGAAATAATAAGATGGCTCAAAAAATTAAATGTCACTTATTAATTGAGAAAATGACGTATAAATTTCAGCGAACCTTGGAAGCCTTTAAAAGAAAATATGATGGAAAAGTGAGTCCATTCACAGTTTGAATTTCACTCAAAAATTACCTGGTATGTATTACACTTCATAGAAATTCTTACCAACACATTAGTAAAGTATTTCGTTTTGGGGCTGGCTTTTTTCAGTTGGATTAGTGTTATAGTCATTATTTTTCTGTATTCTCTGAAATAGTTATTTAAAAGCTATTTAAAAGAGAAAATGCTTTAAAATGTTTACTGTGTTTTTCAAATAGAATTATTGTCTACTTAAATTATATGAGCTTTTAGAAAAGTTTATTAAAAATTCTGATTAAATAAACCTGAATTTCCAAGAGGAGCTTAAAATGTGTTTGTTTTCTTCACATTTAAAAATCCGTTTATCTTTAAGTAAAACACTTTTTAAGGTATGTAATGTTAAATTTGACTCGAAGTTAGTTTTTCTTGCCTAGTTTATGCCACCTACCAGTCTCCCAATTTTAATGAATCTAGTTATTACCTAGTGACATTCTGTTTGTTTTTTAAGGTTAACAATCAAGATGGTACATGCTGAAGCCTTTTCTCGTCCCTTGAGTCGGAATGAAGTTGTTGGTTTAATTTTCCGTTTGACAATATTTGGTGCAGTAACATACTTTACAATCAAATGGATGGTAGATGCAATTGATCCAACCAGAAAGCAAAAAGTAGAAGCTCAGAAACAGGTATGATTAAAATATTTGAGAATCATTTTTCTTGGAGCTAGCAAATATTTTCCCATAAAACTAAGGATATAGTAGAATCATAAATTAATGAGAAATTATGTATGACCCATGTAGAAAATGTGTTTTTATGTAATATTTAACTTCATCCCTAAAAATATGTTTGCTTCTCAAATCCTTTTTGACTACTTAAGCATTTTATCAGAAGAAAAAATGAATAAGAATGAAAGTACTATACAATTTTGTTATTAATATCCTAAATAGATCATTTTTGTCAGCTTGTAAATGAAGGAATCTAGATAAAATTTTTCAACAGACTAAACAAAAAATTTTATCTTCTGTAATGGTATATATTATACTTTGTGTGACATTTGAAATGTGGGTAATACTGACAAACTGTCAGTCTTACAGACTTACAAACTATATGAATTTCTGATTAAGGGATTGCTAAAAATGTTGTTATTAATATAAGTTTATAGTATTTCTTTTTTCAGCTGTTGCCTCTTAAGGTTATTTTCTTACTAGGATGATAAATTTTTTTGGTTTCTATTCTTCCTCAAAAAATAAAAGCCTTAGAGGAATCTTTCACATTTTTCTTGCTGTTTGAGGGCAGAATGTTCATATTCATGGATTTTTAGCTTTCTTTTGTGAGTTTTGACTCTGATGCATTCGGTGAACAGTCATTGAGCTGCTAGCAAATGCTTGATGCCAAGGATAAAAGATAAATAAATCTTATTCTTTCAAAAAGCTTAAGGCTAGTTTGGGAAACTGGGATGTAAATAATTGACTGCTGTATAATGCTGTGCATAGCTCTTAAATTAGTGAAAACCATGGTTTCATAAGTACTGCTTACTGTATATATCTGAAAAACAATTTGGACAGTTGTCAGTTTTTTCTCCTGAATTTGCTAATAAAATAGTTGACTTAAGGTCTAGGTTATATCATCATATCAGTCAATCCAGAATTCTCTAGGAAGTCTGAGCAGTGTAATTTTTTTTTAATTTGAGTATATCCATGTGTCAACCTAAGTGCAGTCCCCCCTCCCCATCTGACTCATGAAAGACAGCTTAAATCTGAGGTCAAAATATTAATTAGTCATATCATTTTCACAGTTTTTGAAAGCAGAGATGTGACTTCAAACAGAATTTTGCTGTTTATTTTTCTTGGCTTCTTAGAGCTCCTGGAACACACATGTAGAAGACATGGAGAAAACCAAATATTAACAGATACTTAAGCAATACATAAATGGATTATTATCATTAATCTTTTTGTGACAGTTTCAATATGATACACATTGAAAAGTATGTGTATAGTATTGTTCTAAATGTCAGGCATATGAAGTGTTAGACACTACATCTGCTCTCTAGTGCCCAGGGTAAGGAGAAAAAACTTGCCCATGACAATATAAACTTATGACAGTAAGTAGCATATCCTAATTGCCTAATGAGTAGACAGAAGCTATAGCATTTAGAGAAAGTATTCACTAATGATTGGGACAGTTGAGGATGGCTTCATGAAAGAGGTTGGCTTGGACTTTAGAATAGGCAAAGACAATTTTAAGTAGAAAGAAAATCACGAACAGAGTTGTGATGGGGCTAACGATAATAAGAACTGTTAGAGGAAGAGTAAATAGACTAGTCAGTTTGGAGTAGAGGGTTTGCACAACTAACTAGTAGAACTTAGAGGGAGAAGTAAGGGGCTAAATGATAAAGGACCTTAAGTATAAACTCAGGGAACAGAGTGCTGATTTTTCCTTACTCAGTCCTAATGTTTTCATGGGTGGACAGAGGCTGATAAAAAATGCCACAGAATTTGAGAAGTCCATTATCATTTAACTAGGAGGCATGCTTTTTGCTTGACTTGGGGCTACAGCTTCTCTGTTACCCTTTCTCTTTTCTTTCCTTACCTCCCTGGCCAACTACTTACTGAAATATGCTCTTGATCAGTTGAAGTCTCCTGTATAACCAGTGGTAAACCATTAAAGATTTTTGAGTAGGTAGGTGATAACGTACAGCAGTGTTTTAAGGATAATTCACCTTACAGTATCATGTAACAAGAATTGGAATCAGGGAGGCTAGAAGTGAGGTCTCTGTTGGTTATAGACTGCAATAATCCTGGTCAAGACCTAGAATAAGCGGGTAACAGAAGGAATGGAATGCTGGAAGGACTTTATGATGATAGGGAAAAGAATAAGGACATCTTACAGATGAATCCGAGATTTGTCTGGGTCCTCAAAGACTCATAGGATCTTTTATAGAGTTCTAGAATCTTTAGATAGGGCAAGTTTATGGGAAGATGACATTTGATTTGAGCATATTGAGTATGTGTTGGTGCTACAGATCCAGGGGAAAATGTTCATTTGACAGGTGAAATTGTAGGTCTAAATCTCAGGAAAAACGTCAGTCTCTGGAGGTTCCTTCTCAGGCGCTCATAGTAGTTAGACTCATTAGAGCAGTGAGTCTCACTGAGATGGAGTAGGCCCTATGGCTATTCCTGGGTAGATATGTATCGTATCATTTGTGGGTTTTTTCCCCAGACTACTCTTCCACTTTCCTCCTGCCACCATCAAGATACATACATTCAAATATTTGTTGAGTGCTTATGTAGTTGTCACTATGATAGATGCTCATAACTGTACTGAGAGTGGTGAGGTCTTAAAGGAGATGTTATAAAATAGAAACAGTCGGCTGAAGAGCAGGACTTCATTTAGGGAGTGAGAAAGATGATGTGAAGCCAGTGGAGAATGAATAGGTCAGTATGGGTAGCTAGGTACCTGCTGAAAACGACAATCCAGATAGGATACTTTAAATCTTAAAGGTATTTGTGAACTAACAAGAAAGTAAGATATTCAAATAAAAAATTTAAGGCAAAAATTCAGAAAGATAAGATGAGCTTGAGGCCAGCTTTCACATTGGGGAAATTTGCTGAACCTGTTGAAATTGAGTTTCTGTTTTTATGACCCAGAGGAACTCAGGATACAAAGCATAGTACTGATCTAAAGTGTGGAGCATCTCAGAGATGATATTCCCATAAATCTTTGATCCCAAAAGACAGCACCCTTTAATTTCATTAAAGACGAAAATGTAGAAATGGTTTAGAAAGATAAAGTTAAGCCATGTACTAGTTGAGGTGACACATAAAATGCACATACAGAAAGGTTGAAAATAAGAATTTGGAACATGAACACAGATCACAAATACAAAGAGAAGGCTGGTTGAACAAAAGTAAACTTTAAGGCAAAAATATAACTAAAAATGTAACTAAAAATTCAGTTCACCAAGAAATAATAACATTTCTGTATGTGTGTGCATCTATTAATGTGGCACCAAAATGCATCAAGTAGAACTACAGGGAGAAATAACATACCCATCATCATAGTGGAAGATTTTAAACATTTCTTTCAATAATTGATGAAACATTTTGAGAAAATCAGTGAGTGTAGAAGATTTAAACAAATAACAAGCTTTATCTAGTGTCCACATATAGTACATTACATTTAAAACAAATGCAGAGTACATTTCAAGCATGCATGTAAGATTTGTGAAATTGAACCAAATATAATCTATTATAAAGCAAATCTGAAGTTTCATAGTACTAGTAGCGTATTTATTACATTCCCTGGCTACAGTGCAGTACAGTAAAATCATTAGAAATATCCAATAGGTTTAGAAAGTAGGAAACATTTCTAAATAGTTCCTAAGTAAAAGAAAACATAATAGAAATTTTAAAATATTTGTAATTGAATTAAACTTAAAATATTAAGTAGTATTTAGAGAGAAATTTATAGTCTTAAGTATTTATATTAGAAAGAAGGTAGGAAATAAAGTAAATATCCAACTTAAGCTGGAGAAAATATTTTAACAGAATGAAACCATAAATAACATAGTGAAAGAATGGGAATAATAAACATAAGATAAATTAATAGAAAATAGAATATACAATAGAGAATGAATAGAAATGTAGAAAATAAATACATAATGGAGAAAGTCAGTAAAAGCAAACAGTTGTTTATTTGAAAAGACTGATAAAATTGACACTTCTTTAAAACCAAGAAATAAATGAAGCCACCAATAAGTATTACTAGAAATGATAAAGGATGTAATTACAGATGCTACAGACATTAAAAAGGACAATAACTATGCCAACAAATTTGAAAACTTAAATAATATGGACAAACTTCAAAAATCATGAATTGCAGCAACATGGATGCTCCTGGAGAATATCATTCTAAGTGAAGTAAGCCAGAAAGAGAAAGAAAAATACCATATGAGATCGCTCATATGTGGAATCTAAACAAACAAACAAACAAACATAACATAAATACAAAACAGAAATAGACTCACAGACATAGAATATAAACTTGTGGTTGCCAAGGGGGCGAGGGGTGGGAAGAGATAGACTGGGATTTCAAAATTGTAGAATAGATAAACAAGATTATACTGTATAGCACAGAGAAATATATACAAGATCTTATGGTAGCTCACAGAGAAAAAAATGTGACAACGAATATATACATGTTCATGTATAACTGAAAAATTTTGCTCTATGCTGGAATTTGACACAACATTGTAAAATGATTATAAATCAATAAAAAAAAGTTTAAAAAATCATGAATTACCATAACTGATTTAAGAATTAGAATACATGAATTGTTAGTTCCATAACTATGAAATAAATTAATATTGGAAAAATATATCCATAAAGAAGACTCCAGGCTTATAGAATTCTGCTGGCAAATTCTAGCAATATTTAAAGAAAAATTAATAATAGCAATTTTATAGAAACTCTTCCAGAGTGTAGAAAAAGAGAAGACACTCACCAAACCTTTTTATGAGGGTAGCATAACAACAATTCCAAAACTTCTAGTGGGCTGTAATTTATCTCATTTGTGAATGAATGTAAAAATCTTAAACAGAATATTAGCAAGCTGAGTTCAGCAGTGTGTAAAAAAGATAATAAATTGTGACCAGTTGGATTTAACCCAGGAATTAAAGGCTGGCTTC